AAACATTTAGAATTAAAATGTCTTCTTGTTGTATTTTCCTTTCATTTCCTCTTGCTCTTTAAGTTACCATTCCTCTGACCTAAGGTTTTGATGAGTCCTTTTGGTACAGGACTAAAAGGATGAGAAGATTGGAGAACAAGAAGGGAAGAAAGATTTAAAAAAAGAAAAAAGAGAAAGGAGAGGGGATGAGTAAAAGGAAATATTTACAAAAAGAAGAGAGGCACAGAAAGGGAGACAGGAGTAATAAAGGTGTATATTAGGGTAGTTTGACTCACCCCTTAAAAATTCCCAACCTCTGGTGGTGCTGTGCTGGGTGGTTCCCTTAGGTCAGCAGCTCTTTGCCAGCCTGACTAGGCACAGTACCCCACCTCCACCAAATAGACAGGAAGAAAACAAAGAAACAAACAAAAGTACTATACATCAAACTAATATAAACAAACAGAAAACCTTACAGGATAAAATTGGGGGAAAAATAACAGGGGCAGAAACCCTTGCAAAAATGAAGTTCTGATTAAAGAAGGCAACAGTGGAAAATTATATTTACACTAGAGAAATGAAGAAAGAAAAATCTAGGGGGAAAAATTTGAAATTAAAAAGAAAAACCCAAAGCCAAAGTAGTATATATTTCTTGCTGAATATTATCTGGGCAGTAGGTGATCTTCTGGGTTATAAGATGCTAATCACAATGCTGATACACCTGTATAAGGTGGAGACTGGAGGCCTCTGCTGACTTCTTTGCCCTCAAACCCTACAGGGTTGAGAGCCTGAATCTCTCAGCCCGCTTAAAAGACACTTTAAATCTTTAACCTTGGCTATGCAGAGGCTCTCCTCGGAAAGCACTTGTCACTGAGATCTCTCCTGAAGTGGCTGCCTGCTTATCAGGTACACCAAAAACTGGCCTCATTCTATGCCCCAGAGGGCTGAGGCTGCAAGGCAGCTCTCCTGCTGCCAAACACTGAAAGCTCCACTCTTCCTTGGAGTCTCAGTCTCACTGTTTGGCGTTGATGACTTGCCCAAGGTCTCCCAGCCCAGGCCTCACTCTGCAACCCTGAGGGCAGAGCCTGTAGGGCAGCTCTCCCACAATGGCTGTGCCTGGCCCATAGCTAAACAATGATAGCCCTGTTCCAGCCCAGTGGTTCAGTTCAGGACCTTGGACAACACTTAAAGTCACCTGCGCTCTCGCCCAAATTCTCCCACATTAATTCATCAAGTGCCCAAGCCTAAAAAAACAATGCAACCCACAGGGAAGGCCTTCCTTATTTGCAATCTCATTGCTGTTGTACTGACAGCCATAGTAGCTACCTACCCTGGCCTCAGACCAAACGCAACCACTTGCCGCTTCTCCACTGCTTTTGTCCTCCTCCTTGGGCCCAAAAGTCTCTAATTGTTTCCCTGCATCCCCAAAAGGATGCTTCTGGGCAGAGCCCACAAGCCAGAGATGCCTGGAGTCTTCTTTCACCAATGTTACCACACCTGGTTGCAAAGAAGCTGTTACCCAGCCACCATCTTGCTCCGCCTTCTATTTACATATTTTCTGTGATCATTGTTAGTTTTATACTGGGCTAGGGAAGCCAGTTGAGATTGTAAAATAACCTAATTTGTTCTGAGTCAGAGTTTGTGCATAAGTTACTATCTGTCCTGTGAAATTAGTATAAGCTTCAGAGATGATTTGACCTTTTTGTTTCTCTGGTTTGTATACCAGGCCTTTAATATAGTATTTGATTCAGTTGTAATAAAACTTCAGTAATTCAGACTAATACTAATTGGGGGCAGCTGAGTTGAATTTGTAACAAGCTGGACTTATAGAGTATTTTCAAATGTGTGTACATATTAGATTTGGGGTTTTAGGAGTTTAAATACATGCAGAAATGCAAACTTATTGTCTAAGTTTTCATGTATAATAAATATTTTCAATTAGGATTGACATTATGCATAGCTCAATACAGTAATATTTTTTCCTATCTATTGCAAGGATCATGGCTGACATCCCTATAACAAAACACATATTAACAAGAGAAAAACATAACAAATTTAATCAAACGTTTGCTTGGGGAGTCTTCAGAAATGAAGGCCCAAAGACCTAGGGAAAACTGCATTTTTATGCTCAGTCTGATTAAAGAAGTGGATAGTTGTGGAGCAACCTGACTGGACAAAAAGGGGTGTATCTAATGGTAATAAAATGGGGGAAACTCAGCAAGGCTTGTTAAAATTCTTTCCTGTGTCTATATGACATTCCTTCTCCTCTGTACCCCTATGGGGCAGGAAACCTGTCATATGCGGATCTTCAAGGGAGAAGAGAGGTCAGAGAGTGACCTGTCTAGGATTTATGGCTTTACTTTGGGGAAGAGGAATTCTAGTTTCTGTGACCTGCCTCTAGGAGTGGTAGAAGAAAGGAGAGAGTCAGAAAAGGTCAGAGAGGGACTTCTAAGGTACCATATTTTGGGATAGTATTTTCTGAGCCCTGACACTACTATAATCTCTGACTGCCCTGTCAGCTATTGCCTTATCTCTTTGCTCTCTTTTAGGGACAAACTTTCCATTTCTAGTTCTTCACTTTCTGATCATTCCTTAATCCACTGAAGTCTGGCTTTCACCTCCATTTCACCAGTGAAATAGCACGTCAGTAGAATTTAACATGTACTTGCTCATGGCAAAATCCCAGTGTAGCACTGACAGTGATGAAACTCTTTTCTTGATTTTATATCATGTTTCTTCCATAATTCTTCTCTTTATCTTTTTGATGTTCTTAATCTAACTTTCCTTCTTATGTTTTTTTCTGCCTTTTTTTAGGGTGTCCTCCTCTTTTTTTTAGTCAAAAAGGTCATTCTGGAGTGTTAATGATTCCAGATGTTTCCTATATTTTGCCAAGTCTAAACTTATATCCCATATTTTTTTCTTCTAACCTGTGTCTATAATTGTTTTGATGCCCTACACATATTTCAAATTAAATATGCACTGCCCTCCTTCTGCTTTCCACCACATTCCCACCCCAGAACTTTTTTTTTTGAGACGTATTCTCACTTTGTCGCCCTAGGTAGAGTGCTGTGGCATCACAGCTCACAGAAACTTCAAACTCCTAGGCTTAAGTGATCCTCTTGCCTTAGCCTCCCAAGTAGCTGGAACTCCAGGCACCCGCCACATCATCCAGCTAATTTTTCTATTTGTAGTTAGAGATGGGTCTCACTCTTGCTCAGGCTGATCTTGAACTCCTAAGCTCAAGCAGTTCACCCAGTTCAGCCTCCCAGAGTGCTAGGATTACAGATGTGAGCCAGTGGGACTGGCCTCTTACCATAAACTTGCTCTTCTTCTCTATTATTTGTTGTGGGGTAAATGGCAGTTTTATCTACCATTGTTGTCTATGCTTTATTTTCTCTATTCTTTCCTTCTCTTATTTTCCTCACCTAATTGGCTACCATCTCTGCTAATTATACAGAACCTCTGTAAATTGATCACTCAAGGGATAGTAACAAACTGGTCAACATACAGAGGTGGTCAACATAAGGAACTAGGCCTACTATACTGATCTGCACATATGGTGCATGTCTAGTCAGTGAAAATTAGTTCAACTTAAGGAGGTGGTCAAGAGAGGGAGGTGGTCAACTAAGGAGGTTCTACTGTATATCCTTTTTCTACTTCATCTCCAACTCTACTGCTCTTGCCTTTGTTAGAACCCTCATACTTTCTCATCCATGCTATTGAAATTTTTTTTTTTTTTT